CACAATCACTAATGCAATTGCTTTAGTTGATAGTGGTGCAGACATGAACTGCATACAGGAAGGTTTGGTTCCTACTCAATACTTTGAGAAAACCACTCAAGGTCTTACCAGTGCAAGTGGAGGTAAGATGCAGATTAAGTATAAACTTAATCATGTTTTCATTTGTAAAGAAGGTATTTGTCTACCATTTACTTTCTTACTCATCAGAAACATGGCACAACAAGTTATTTTGGGCACTCCCTTTTTAGCTTTGATTATGCCAATTGAGAAAATTGATTCTCATGGAATATGCTCTAATTTACATGGTCAGTCAATTACTTTCCAGTTCTTGACCCCACCAGTAAATAAGCATATCAATGCTCTTAAAGATAACATTATCTTTAAGGAAAATCCAGACACAACAATATGCTGCACCAGATGGTCGCCATAGATATATCTATGAAGCCATCCTTACTGAAACTTCCTCTGTGGAGATCAACCACACGAAGCAATTTCCGAATTCCAAAGATAGTCCTCTTACTTATAGTAAAGCTATCTTTAAGAGGAAGACAGGTACAAGACAGCCTTTTGCGTACCTTTCGGACAGTATGAATGGACGGTGATGCCATTTGGGTTAAAAAATGCTCCTTCAGAATTTCAACATATTTTGAATGACATATTTAATCCTTTTACTGAATTTTCGATTGTTTATATTGATGATATTCTTATATTTTCAAAATCAATCGATCAGCATTATAAACACTTGAAAATTTTCAAAGATGTTATTTACAGAAGTGGTTTAGTAGTTTCTGCTCCTAAACTAAAATTGTTTTTAACAAAGGTCAGATTTCTTGGTCATGAAATTTGTGATGGGAAAATTCGACCTATTGATCGCAGTATTGAGTTTGCTTCTAAATTTCCAGATGAAATCAAGGATAAAACTCAACTTCAAAGATTTCTGGGTAGCTTGAATTATATTCGAAGTCACTACAAAAATCTTGCACAGGACACAGCAATTTTGTACACCAGGTTAAGGAAATCTCCTTCCCCATGGACTTTGGATCACACCAAGGCAGTCCAGAAGATTAAACTTAGAGCCAAACAAATTCCTTGCTTAGCTCTAGCCAATTCTTCATGGTTCAAAATTGTGGAAACAGATGCCTCCAATATTGGATACGGTGGTATTCTTAAACAGAAAAATCCAAACACAGAGACAGAGGAGCTTGTTCGCTTCACTTCATGAACTTGGAAAAATGCACAATTAAATTATTCAACCATAAAAAAGGAAATTCTTTCTTTGGTTAAATGCATTTATAAATTCCAAGATGATTTAATCAATCAGAAATTCTTGTTACGCATTGATTGTAGTGCTGCTAAACAAGTACTGGAAAAAGATGTTAAGAATTTAGTTTCCAAACAGATATTTGCTGGTTGGCAAGCTGATTTATCTGCTTTTGATTTTCTATTGACTATATTAAAGGCAGTTCTAATTCTTTACCGGATTTTCTAACTCGTGAATTTTTGCAGGGTTCATGAATCAGCCCCCCCATGGGCAGGGCCGGGGTCATACTCCAAAGGCTCGTGGCAAAAACAAGGCTAAGGCCAAAGTGGTTATACCACTAACTGATGATCAGTTTCCATATCTGGAGCATGATATGCTGCACCAGATGGTCGCCATAGATATATCTATGAAGCCATCCTTACTGAAACTTCCTCTGTGGAGATCAACCACACGAAGCAATTTCAATGGAGTTGGGCTGAATTCAATTCCAAATTGGCGACGAGACATACCTATGGGTGCTTTCTCGTAAACTCCTCTTGGAATCTGATTCGGAGATTGTTGTATTCCTTTGAGCTTGAGCTTGGAATCAACTGCTTCAGGTAGTCCTTCCTTACGGTAATCTGACGAGATCGAATGTCGAGAAGGAGGACAAGAAACACGATAAGGAAGATAACTTCCTTTGGATGATGTCGATCTGGATAGATCGATGGATTTTCTGAAATTCAGAAAAACATCACCATCTTGGTCCTGAATAACACAGTCTAAACTACGATTAGCAATTGGCTGTGCTGGGACGACATTAGAAATCGTCCAGTGTTCAGGAAATGTTATCTCACTCCAAGGAATCATCCTTTTTGTGGCAACATTGGATGTGTACATGTTGGTATCCCATAACGCTGTTACTCCTTTAGAGTCTTTGCGTATGGCCTTGGGACACATAGTATCAAGTACTTTATAATGGATACGATAAATAACGCTTATCACTTCCGATCCAGGTAAGTAATCATATCCATAAGTCTGTACCCTAAGACTAACTGCCTCATGGATATTTTTATCTGTTAAAGATAAATTCAGACTAGGATAGACATCAAAGTAAACCGGTCCATGACATAGACTGGTTTCCAGTGCACCCATCAAAGAAGGGTGAAATTTCAGACATCGAGCATCCCTTAGGGTTGCTTGAATGCAGGCATCCATACCTAACAAGGTTAAAGGTTTAAAAGCAATTTGAATTAAACCAATATGGATGTACTTATATTTATGCATGTGCCTCTGAAGGTCACGGGAAGACAATAACTTAATTATTGTATCCTTTGTGCTTAATTGCATAGTCTGTTCCATGGTCTTAATAGTCCATAGATCTGCTAGATTAAGCATTCCGATTTTGTAAATGCTTTTTGCACTTACTGGAGGGATAGTCCATTTGTTCAATTGATTTTGAACATTGGTCCATTCCACTACTTCAGTATTTTTTACCAGTTCTGAATCCTGGTTTTCCTGTATTCCTGAAGAGGAAGAGGAAGATGGTTGTAACATGTCTGTTAATTATTGTTAATACTTTAAGGTCTGCCTAGTATAAATATTATAATATTATATAATGAACAGTAAGTTACTATTCTGTCGTCCTTCTGTTTAAGAGAGATTCTATTACTCGTCTGTCAACGATTTACTGGAAACAATACCCTGTGCAGCAATTTAATGCAAAATTGGGTTAAACATTCCAACGCGACTTTTGGACGACCCATAATAAATCTGGGATAAACATAAATCAGACAGAATAATATTCATATTGTTCATTACATAATGACGATAATAATCATGCTACCAGAACCTAAACAGTATTAACAATAAGTAATTAAGCCATCATGGCTCTGATACCAAAATATAGTGATCGATAGATATAATGATGATAATGATAAATAACAAACTTTAAATAAGTATTGAACAGACTTACAGAAAACTTTCTTTATTAAACTCCAAACTTGTACAGAGAAATATTACAAAGGAGAGAAAGGAAAATTGAAAGATACATTGAAGGGAAACTTTGCCCTCTATTTATACATAAAATGGACTTGAAATTATCATTTTGAAGTCCGCATAGTGTATGGGATCGTGTGCTAGAATAATGCAGTCGGTCGGCCCACCACTAAGTGTTGTCTCCTTATCTGATGGAAAGTTGACATCTGATAAAGGAAATACTGTTGAATCAAAGACTTTGGGGAAAGTTCTTTGTCTTCTTCTGTCGGCAGGATAAGAGGAATCTTTACTTTTTGGGTGGATTCATCCTGTCCTTCAAATGTCCTGTGAGAGAGTCCCAATAATCAGCGATTGAAATCTCATCTTCGGAATTAAGATCTTCATTGGGATCTTGAGCATAACCTGCAAGACAAGAAAACTGATTTTCTTCTTGACTGGCCTGGCTAGAGACGGACACCATGGATGTATCATCTCTTACTGTGGGAGTGGAGGATTCAAAGGATTTAACAAATTTGTTCCTCATAAAATCCATGCATTTAACCATTAAATCAGCTTCGGTAATTAATGGTTGTTGTTTTCTGATCATATCTTTAACAAGTTCAAATGGGCGACCATCTGGTGCAGCATATTGTTGTGTTTGGAAATATCTGGATTTTACTTCCCAAGGATCTGGCATCCATTGCTCATCTTGGGAATCCAGTACCAATACTGTTTGAATATACCTTTGATTAGGTATCCATGGAGTTTCTTGTTCAAGAACCTCTTTCATGGGTAGCATGATTATTATCGTCATTATGTAATGAACAATATGAATATTTCAAAATAAAAAGAATAAGTATTTTGAGACCAAAGAAGTGGTTATTTATATGAATAACTCACCTAAGTTGAACTAAAATGGGAAAGGTACTAAAGGGACAGAATGTGGGGGTAACTTCAAACATAATGAGTTTTGTGGATGGAAAGAGAGAGGAGAGAGAGAGAGATAGAGAGTCTGTGATTTGGATGTGTGGGTTTTATCAAAATATTATACTGGGATATTTTTGTTATTTAAATTTATAAATATTTTATATAAAATTATATTAAATAATTAAAAATAAATGAGCCAATTCGCATGTGTCAAAATTCAAAAAGTAATTTGAAATGTAAGTAAAAGTTAAAATTCAAATGTTCATCTATATAAAATTTAACCTAATTTTAAAAGGTGTCAATGTAATTTATCCCAATAATTAAGAGACTTATTCAACAACTTAAGTTTTTAAATTAAATAATGATTAATACCAGAATTATTTGTTAATGTTAAAATCTATATCTAGATTCATCAATATAAAATCTGATATTTAACTATATAAAATAAACTCATTTTTTTGATTGGATGTCAGGTCAAACCTGATTCTTCTTTTACATACTTACATCGGCTTTATAGGTCCATATTTAACCCAATTTAAAACCAAGATCCAATTTCATAGGCCAAAAGTCAATAAAATACACTCCCAAATAAGACTAGATTTTGGGCAAAATAAAAAAATAAAAAAATAAAAAAATAATAATAATAAAAACCCACAACACGCTCTGAAGTCTGAACTGTCCAATATTATACTTTTAGTTATTTATTACTATGTGTTTATATATATTTTATAAGATCTTACAATTGTTTTAAAATAAATTTGTTTACATGAATATATATAGTTATGGTATATACTCTTTCAACTGGCCCGTAGCCTACGTTGGTGGTGTGGTATGTGGGTGCTTATATATATTTATAAATATCAATGTATGGGTTTCAGGTGAAAGCTCAAGTATATTGGGCACAGATTTGATCTGGTTTAGAACAAAGTGCCAAACCAATTAATAGGAGTATGGTATTATTAGGTTTTGTGAGGAAATTATCGCATCTCAGTCTCAATTCTCTACGATTTTCTCTAACTAATTCCGCGAAAATAGGTACTATTTAAAGTGCTTGAAATCGGTGAGGTATTCTACTTCTAAATGGACTTTCCAAATGAAAAATGGCATTGAAGCTTTTTGAATACAGAGTGAGAATCAGATCATTAACACTTTTGTGATTAATAGCCACCACAAATTTGCTGGGTTTCTCGTGAAAGCTGACAAGTCGAGAAAACCAACCAACTAACCCAAACTATTCATTCATTGTCACATTACTCACGCGATTCCTCACTCTTGATCTGCCTTTTCTTTGATTTTGAAAGCACCCTTTAATGCTTTTGGTGATCCGATCGTATTCTGAATAATCTTTTTTTTCTTTCTTTTTTTTTTTTCAATAAAGAAATTTGATTTATTATTATTGTTTTTTAATTCTCATCTGGGTACTTCGGATTCTTTGTAAATGAAGAGAAACATGATCTGGGTATTTCTTGTTTTGATGTTTTAGGTTAAGATATGATTTGGGTGACAAGGCTTTGAGAGGTCATTATTTTTGAGGTATGTATTAAATTTTATCTGGCATCTTCTTTGGAAGTTCAAGAAATTTGGGAATAATAATCTTGCTTTCATTTTGGTCTGTTAATGTAACTGAGTTTGTGATATGCTGTTGATTTTTGATTCCAAAATAGATTATTTGATGAATATATTTGGGTTTTCTGATTTATTGGTTGGTGATTGAAGGGAGTATAAAGCAATGGATTCTTGCTTTGCCAACATAAAGGGCAATGTGCCCCCAGTGAAATTTAGTAAGGGGAGAGAGAGTGCGTTCTGGGGGAAGAAGATCAATGGGACTCTGAAGGGGAGGGCTTTAGGTGCTCCATCATTCAAGAGTGTGAGGACTGAAAAAAGGGCTGGTGCTGCTTACTCTGTTCTTACAACAGATATTAACAAAGAGGTTGTGGTAAGTCAACACCATACAATTGATTTATTCATTTATTTACCTTTTCATTAGTTTGACATATCATATGTTAATTTTTTTTGTCATATGTTAATTTTTTTGTCATTTGTTTACATTTTTAATCCATTGAATTGTGATGCTATTGGTGTATATCTAATATTCTGTGTGCATGGTGTACTGATATCAGACATTTGAGGCACCAATATTTGAGTATCCAGAAGTAGACCCTAAAAGTGTTGCTTCGATTATACTGGGTGGAGGTGCTGGGACTCGCCTCTTTCCTCTTACCAGCAGAAGAGCGAAACCAGCTGTAAGAGTTACTACTCGTATTATTTGCCTTTACTATACTTGTGATTAAATTCAAGATGTGCCTGATAGCTGAGGATGATTTCTTAAAGTTGTTTGAATGTTCTGAAACATTGAGTCGGGGGAAATTTTAGTATCTCATTTTGACTTTAGAGGATGTATCATCCTCAACAGTAAACTCATCGAACATAGAGAAACTTATCCTTGAGTGTTATATATTGATTGATGATCATTAAATTGTACAAAGAAAAATCGATTAAAAATTGTCTGGTAATTTTGGTTGTCCCAGGTTCCAATTGGAGGGTGTTACAGGCTAATTGATGTACCCATGAGTAACTGCATCAACAGCGGCATAAGAAAGATTTTCATCCTAACCCAGTTCAATTCTTTCTCCCTCAATCGCCACCTTGCTCGGACATATAATTTTGGAAATGGCATGAACTTTGGGGATGGGTTTGTGGAGGTAAGATGAATTTTGGCTAGTAGGAGTCAGTTAGACCTGAAAATGGTATACCTGTGTAAATTGAATTATCAGAACTTTATCCTGAAAATTGTCTCTAGGTTTCTCTCTCTCTGGAAATGTAAAATGAAGGATCAATCACCTTTTTTTGATGTATTATTATTTTTACTATATTATTATTTGTTAATTATTATTGGTGAAACTTCTTTGTGAATGGAATCCGAATTCACATGGGGATGAACAGGTTCTGGCTGCCACTCAAACACCAGGAGAAGCAGGAAAGAAGTGGTTCCAAGGAACAGCAGATGCTGTACGCCAATTTATTTGGGTATTTGAGGTGGGTGCTTAGGATATTTCCTTAGTATTAAAATATACCAATCACAAGACCTTAAGTGGGATTTCATTTGGTTCCTGTAGGATGCAAAAAACAAGAATGTTGAGAACATATTGATTTTGTCTGGCGATCATCTTTACCGGATGAATTATATGGATTTCGTGCAGGTAATTGTCCTTTATTGACCGAATGTTACATTTAATACCTTCTTACCTGTTTAGAAAGTTTATTTAGCTGGGAGATATTTGCCTGCAGAAACATGTTGACACGCATGCTGATATTACAGTCTCATGTGTACCCATGGATGATAGGTATGTTATCCAATCTCCTATTCAACTTAATATCAGTTTTCCCAGCTCAATGTAACAGAATAATATAGTCTTATCCCATGTGGCTAAATTCGATTCTATATGATTGTGTATTTAAAGAATAACAGTTACTTGAATGGTTGTAATCATTGTTAGTTTTTCTTAAAGAATCAATGGGCCTGTTTGCTACACTTTTCTGAGAATAGTTCTATCCTCGGAGAATTGAAACTGTTGAAAATTTTGTTTAGTTGGTATTTTCTGAAAATGAAATTAAAAAAGATGATCTAGTTACAAAGATTTTTTTTTTTCCCCTTTTAAAACTGTTTTCTGTTTTCAGGGTTCTAGGAAACTGTTTCTGAAAATTGAACCAAAAAATCCCAAGGTTCTTAAGTTCTAGTCCTGGATTTCACATCATGCAACCTCTGTTTTATGTTCTCTTGCTTATTGTTTACTCGGAATATTAAGATGAATTGATGAAACCTTCTTTCTTCATTTCCAAGAAGCAAAATTCTTAATCAGTTATAAATTATTAGTAGAGGCTAGATACATATTTTTTTCCCTCTTTTTCTTATGGATTTTGGTGTTCACTTCAATTTTCATTTGTTTTGCAGCCGAGCTTCTGATTATGGATTGATGAAAATTGATAAGACAGGACGAATCATCGACTTTGCCGAGAAACCAAAGGGCCCTGCACTGAAAGCAATGGTAGATAGTTTTACTTTGCTTGACCAAGATTCCCTTTTGTTGTTTTTCTCTTCCGCCAGTTACCTCAAAGTTGTTTAATTACCAAGTTTTTTTCCCATCATTATCCCAGTTGATACCGAATAGCTTTATGTATAATATTGGTTCTTATTTCTTCTTTGATATTGGTTTGAAGCAAGTTGATACCTCTCTCCTTGGCCTATCTGAGCAAGATGCCTTGAAATATCCCTACATTGCATCGATGGGTGTATATGTGTTTAGAACTGATGTCCTATTAAAGCTTCTGAGGTGGAGGTACCCTTCGTGCAATGATTTTGGCTCTGAAATCATTCCTTCAGCTGTGTCAGATTATAATGTCCAGGTGAGATAGAGCTTAAAATAAATTTTTTTTTTTTTTTTTCACACAGTTCTTTATTTTAATTTTTGGCTATGAAAGATTCATGGATTTGCTTTGCCTAGATTTTAAGCCTGTAATTAATCTGCTAATTTTTTGAATGCCTTTGTATTTTCAGGCATATCTATTTAATGACTACTGGGAGGACATTGGAACAATAAAGTCATTCTTTGATTCCAACTTGGCCCTAACAGAACAGGTCAATGTTACTGCATGGGAATGATCTTTTATCACTCGAGTGTTTGCTTAATTATGCTGTTAGGACAAATACAATCAACTCTTTAATAATTAATAATTGTGAGAGACATTGATGTTATTAATTAGTATGGTTAATATTAATTTGTTCAATTCTAATTAGCTAAATTTTCTTTTCCTTTTTTACTTGAGACGTATGAAAAAATGGGCAATGCTTATCTTTTCAATGATATTTATAGCGTATCACAGATGATATATATGCTAGATATACTAACTCTACTCACAGGGAAAAGAAGAAGATTTAAATATTCTTTAAATTAAATTATTTAAATATTTGAGAAGGTAAACAAATGACACTAGTTATGCTGAGAATTTCATTGGCCAAAGCATGGCATCTTTGAAAAATTTACTAAATTTTCATACTTCTAAGTATTGCATTTCTAATTATATTTCCATTCTAAAAATTAGTAGTCTAATAATTTTCTAAAAATTTATTAATCATTCCACCATGGAATGATGTAGGTTCCTTAAAAATTATCAGCATTGAGGATTATCAAGTTAAGAATTCTAATTAGTAGAGGATCAATTGTAGTGGAGTGACGAAGTTGAGATCAGCCACTTGTATATCGGTTTGGGAAAACACGTTTCAGGCCTAAATAAGAACTTGTCATTCTGGAGTTAAATACAAAATCGTATTGAGTTAAATTTATAATTCAGGAACTATTCATGCTTTCTAATGCATATGTCATTGTCAATTGGTTTCTCTTCCTGGATGTGTAAAAGTTACTGAATATATATTATCTTCCGTGCAGCCACCAAAGTTCGACTTTAATGACCCAAAGACACCTTTCTTTACGTCTCCAAGATTCTTGCCGCCTACTAAAGTAGAAAAATGCAGGGTATGCTGGTAAGCTTTAATCAGTTTTCAGCATAAGGTTGTGATCCATGCATCTCACGATTGAATTGGTTCTTGCAGATTCTGGATGCAATAATTTCACACGGTTGCTTCTTACGGGAATGTAGCGTTGAACACTCTATAGTTGGTGTGCGTTCACGTTTAGAATATGGTGTTGAGCTTAAGGTTAGTTATCTTGTCATGTTCTCAAAATCTTAGGGTCAATCTGAGCCTGAGAGGACAAAAATCCTCTTTGGGAAGAGACTGAATTCAATAAGAGAAGTAGGCTTCCTCATATTTACGTAAGTGTAAACAAGTGTAGACCAAACTGGATGGCGGACAACTATGCTAGAATCCCACTTGACGATAAACAGTGCATTCAGCATATAGGAAACATTTCTTACCATGGCGACCATGAAGATGTCTACAGGTGTATTCTACCTGAAACAGCTTTCAATGTTGGCAACCTCTTCATGGTGCCGTGCGCTTTTAGCTTCAGTCAGTTAGTAATATATGCTCTTTTGAATGACTTGAACCAAGTGCAGCAATGATCTATAATCTTGTTGCACATACAGCTCTTTCACCCGCCGTATATTGCTTTAACAATTATCTGATTAAAATTTAAAATATGCTCAAGTGGGCACTTGAAGTCATTTCATCCCGCAACTTGCTTCCAATAGCTCAGTACTATTATCCTGAGCACGATAAGATTGCAATGATTTTATAAAATAACGGGCAATATATGAGTTTGGCTATTATACTTTTTTTTATCTTTGGAATAAAAACCAATACTATATCATTAGCAGGGAAAGAAAAAGCATTTAATGACAGTTAGAAGACGTGTTTCTCCTTTTCAGGATACAATGATGATGGGTGCGGACTATTATCAAACTGAATCTGAAATTGCATCTGCTCTAGCGGAGGGGAAGGTTCCCATTGGTGTTGGACAGAATACCAAAATAAGGTGAGATTTAAATTGGACTTTTTTTACTTGCTTTTTCACCCCACATTTCTCTTCTGATAAACAAAAATGGTAAGAATGAGAATGTGTTTTTTTGTTTTTCGGTAAGTCGAGAATGTTTATAGTCCAAGATCTGTGCAAAATAAACTTCCAATTATCTTTTTATCAGCAGCAATAATCGAGCACAAAACCTTACTGCTTCCTTTCGGATGCGATGTCAGCACTCACCCATTGTGTTACAATGGATATGACAATTATTTTTACAGCTTTGAGATAGAACTTGTGTTGGTGAATGTAAAACTCTTTGAAGGAGCACCTTGTTGATGTCCTGGCTCATAAAGCAATGATGATTCAATAGTTTCACCATTTAATATAATAAATTACATTATTTTCTTCCTCTTGTATTACATACTCAGAAAAAGGATGTTGCTGACTGATATATAATGAATCTTTGTCAATTTTCTTGAAGGAATTGCATAATTGACAAGAATGCCAAGATTGGAAGAAGTGTAATCATTGCAAATAAAGATGTAAGTATTTTAAAATTTTCTTATTCAGACTTGAAGGTGATGCATTTAAAATTTTACTCCAACAAGAAAAAAAGTTTTTTCATTGTTAATCGACATAGCTGCATGCTTTTCATTTCTCAGGGTGTTGTAGAAGCAGACAGGCCTGATGAAGGATTTTACATCAGATCTGGGATCACAGTTGTACTGAAGAATGCAACAATTAAAGATGGAACAGTCGTATAAAATCTTGAGACACTTTCGAATTTCCTCTTGCTGTGGTTAGGCCTGAAATGGAAGCTGAGGAAATCCGCTGGTGTGATTTAACTTGTTCGGATAAAAGGACGATAGTAGGTGCGCTCCTATATGTAAATTACGAGTTCTTTTGATGTAAAAAGAGGCTATGAGATGTAGCTAGTTAAGTACATTTCTGAATAAATCCACGGGATGTTTACTCTTTTTAATTTTATGAAATAGCAGATTCCATTTGGTAGCTTGGAGTCAAGAACTAGGTCTTCAAGAATTACGCTACTACATGATGCGCTCTTGAATAGATAGAATAGGTCTCTAAGAGAGAACCAACTTCTTCCAAACTAGCAATCACTTAAACATTCATGAACACAAGTTTTGCATAAATTTTGCCCATAACTGAAGTTTCATTTTGGACTACTACTTCCCCAATTTTCAGTTTCCAGAATCTCCAACCTTGTGAGCACGCCGTAGGTGAGCACTTCTTATGGCCCTTGCTCTCTTCCATTTCCCAATATTTAGCATCCTAGCATGAATCATCCCAATCCTTTTCAGTTTCTGCTACCGTTGAACAATCAGACTAGCAGTTGTGGTGCTTTCACTTGAGACTATCTCATACGTGTCACGGAAAGAGTCCATTCCTCCAGTCCAGGGTTGCCAGAACAGTCCACCAGCGGCTGCACCTCCACCCCTGGCCGATCAATAGATTGTGCAATATACTGTATGGAATAGTAGGTCAGTTTGGTTGGTTGTGCTGTAACTAGAGTCTTTCCATGATTTTCCAAACTCCGCAAGGAGAAGTTGCTTTTGGAGGATGTGTTCTGTGCATCCTGAATCTGATTGTTGAGCCAGTTGTTCAAGAATGAAACTTAGGATTCATCACTTGTGCCTTTTAACCTGCTCTTCAAGAATGAATTGTGGTTTTGAGCCTTGCCTATCTGATCTGCTTCCTTTTTACATCACCATTGTTTTCGGATCGAGAAGCTCAGGATTCGACTTCGAAATCACACCCTGATTATCTGTATATGCACCACATTAGTTAGATATAAAAATTGTATGTATAATAAGAGAAACAGAAATGTTGTTTGTTGAATGCATAATGGTATATATATAATTAGGTGAGCCATAGTGGGAGACAGTGGTCAATCACGGCTTGAAGGCTTCAACCTATTTCTGGCTTGGTTCTGAGGTAATCCGAGGTTCTTGATTTGTAGTTGTTGGACGTTGGTAGTCTTGGTCACTTGGAGTTCGTCGTTTGGGTGTCTATGTCTCGACGTACAGTAATGGGTCAATCATAGCTTGTGGCATCGCCGGACGGACCTGTTATATCTCTATAGCTCACCGGAGACTTCTGACTTGGTTTGGAGCTGTTCGCCGGATTCAATGGTGACAGATTGGTTCGCTAAAGTTCAAATCTTCTTGCCGCTGTCGATTGAAGTTCGCCATTAAGTCGCTGAGCCTTCGCCGGATATGATGGTCCGATGTCCTCACGGTCGTCGTCAACTCAGTGTTGATGAAACGGGTCTTGATTTGAGATGAAGCACTGACGCTCTGTTCGTCTTTAATGGACTCAGGCTCGCTGGAGTTAGGACACTCGTCACCGGAAATGGTGCTCTCCGGCGATAATTTTACCGGACTAGGAGGGTATTTTGGAATTTTTATAAAAATAATTGGTCAAAATGATTAATTAGGGGCAATTTGCAACCAAAAAAACAATTGGGAGTTTTTTGCCAAAAAAAAAAAAAAAAAAAAACAAACATTCACCATATGCAAAGGCCCAAACTCTAGCCAATTTAAGCCCAAAGGAGATTTTATTCGGCTGAAACACCCCCCAATCCCCATGAACCAATTTGTATATATTTTTATTTTTATTCATTTATTTATTTATTTTTTAAGTCAACCAATTTGTATATTTGTTACCAGTAAGGCAGTAACATAAATTGTAGGGTAATTATACTAATCTTCCTTGAGGGTTGGATAAATTATACACTGAGTGAATCATAAAATGTTTAAAATAATGCTATTATAAAGTATTTCATGACACTTCTCACTCTATTTTTTTTTTTGTCATGAGACACAAATATAACCGTTTGAAAGAGGGTTATATGAAGAATTGAGGATTAAATAGTCAAAATTTCTTAACAAGAGGATTATTATAGAGTCAAAATTTCTTAACAAAATTCATTTAAAGAAGATTGCACGAATGAGTCAAAATTTTAAATATTTTGAACTGATATTTTTTACAATGAAATCACTTCAATATTGGCAACGTGATGATATAGTGCAGTATGCTAATTTAAAAAAGAGTTCATGAGAAGTGTTACTCCAACGTTTATTATTTTGATTTATACTAAACCCGTTTGCCTGCTGCCAGAAAGTAATTTGGAGTGTAAAAAGTTAATAATGCCCTTGTATTGTTCTGTCATTTCATTACAATAAATAAGTTTATTATTGTCTTTTCATACAAGAGAAGGATGAAATTGCCAATTTATAAAATTTTGTCAACAGATTTGCCTAAAAGAAAAAGATGGGAGTGTTGTTGAGCAATGAGCATACACACTAAATCTCATGGAAGATCAAGATAATAAATATTGAACAGTTTGTCCAAAACTTCAAGAAAGATTACTGTAATTTACCCTAAATTGTATTCATCTGGTTCAATTGAACCCATCATGCTCCTTATTCATGGATAAGAATAAATAAATAACCGAGAATATAAAATATTTATTATTTCCATAAAAATTAGTATTTAAAAGGAGGGAAAGAACAAGTTAACCAATTCACAAAAAAAAAAAAAAGAGGGGAAAAAAAAAAAGAGGGGGGGGGGGGGGGGGGGGGGTTGGGGGGGAATGGAAAGAACTAGGGAAATTTAAGGATGAGGTGACTGGATTGGCTTTCTAGCTTTCCAATATCCATCCCCTGAACTTCTATTGGGTCGTTGCCTGTTCATATGCTTTCTTTCTTGTCGTGAGAAATAGTAGGGATGGCAACGGGGTGGGTTTGGATTGGGTTTCCCTAAATCCCGCTCCGCCTTTTTTAATTTTTGTCAAGTCCATGCCCGCTCTGAGACCCGTGACGGGTTGGATTTTCATGTCCAGCCCCGTCCCGTTAGGAAATATTATGCCCTCGTGCCCGCCCTGCTAACAAATTTTTTCTCCCACTTTTTGGAACTTAAGCTCCTACTATTTAAATGTGGAAAGCCTAGGAATGACATAATATAAATGAAATTATGTATCCCAACAAAAATAAAAAAATAACATGCATAAACATAATAAACAAAAATAAAAATTTAATACAACCAAATCACAAGAAGTTCTAAGCTCCAACTTCCACCATAACTAAAACAAAAACAAATTTAATACCAAGTTTACATCCCAAATTAGGATTGTAAGAGATGGGTAACTGGGTAAGCCGCTAAAATAAGTTATTAATATTATATATATATTAAATATAATTATATGCTTAGCGGGCGGGGCGGGGTGGGGCCCCTAGGATATATATATATTGAACCCTTACCTACCCTATAACCCGCGACGGGTACAAAATTTGTATCCATGCCCGCCTTAACGGTATAAAAAGTGTTCCCATATCTATTATTAATGGGGCGGGACGGGGCGGGGCCCCGGCGGGGCGGTAAAAATTGACATCCCTAAGAAATACCATTTCTTTTTCTCCTTGAGCTTTGTATTTCTCTGTTATATATAAAATCCCAAAACACAAGTATATATTAATTATTTGCAATATTATTAAAGCATTCTTAATTTTAAGATGCATGCATGTATGTTAAAACCCTAAGGCACACATGGTATTTATTTTCATATATCAAAACCTAGGGTTAAAATCCTAGGGCACAATAATATATATTCATATCAAAACCTATCTTTAATATTCTTATCAACACATGAAGTGAATGACCAACCTAGTATATTCATATTAAAACCTAGGGTTAAAAGTTTAAACCCAAGGGCACACATAATATATTCAAATCAAAACCTAGGGTTGAAACCCCAAGGAAACATAATATATTCATATCATAACCGAGGGTTAAAACCCTAGGTCAGATAGAATATATTCATATGAAAACCTATCATTAACGTTCATACTGATCAACTCTTGATCATTAAGGCACATAACTGCAAGGATTATTTCCACCATGCTGAAGACACAGGACTGCAAGGCTCTTACTGACAAGATCACAGCAAGAATCAGCTATTGGACTAGCAAATTTCTCTCCTTTGTAGGTAGAATACAGCTCATCAAATCCACTCTCCACAGTACATAAATCTATTGGAGCTCTAAGTTCATTCTCCCAATGTCCATCATCATTGAACTCACAAGCATATTTAGAGCATCCCTATGGTCAGGTCCAGAGCTAAAGAAGCATGGGGAAAAGGTTGCTTGGCCCTACATTTGTTTACCTTTAAGGGCTGGTGGCCTTGGAATTCCCTCTCTACATTCTTGGAACAGAACAGCAATATTGAAACACTTGTGCCTTGTGGAATATTATCCAAGCCAAAGAAGGTATTGTTGATCAAATGAACCTAATCCATTTATTTTGATGATAACAAATCATTTAAAAAAGTTTTATATGCTAATGTTTCAACTGAGTTTAAATGCAAGGAAAATGAATGCCTCTTTACAGAAGGGAAGAAAGGAACTTCATGTCATCATATGGACTCAGATGCACATACTTAAAGCATTAAAAGGCTGCAAGTGTTCTACAAGAATTCATGATCAACTAAAGGCATCAAGAAGGCTGCAAGTTTTTCGGATGTTTCCTTCATGAAAGCATTTCTAACTTGGTACGTGCCTAAGGGACGTAAAATTGATGTGGCTCACTTAATATACCATCACATGATGGATTACGTCAACCGACAGAAAACCCATTTATTCTATGCAATGCCTCTCACTAAATTTTTTTGGGTAAAAGGGGTTATGATTGTTGGATGGCCTTAGATGAAGCTTCTATCTCAACATCGCATTGAAAAATCGGCTCTTCTTCATATGCGATTAAAAAGGGATGATGCTGGAAATTGGTATGATCCCAAGATTGAAGGTCATCCTACACAAAATGAAAGCGAAACTAAATAATCGGATGAGGAAGAAACAGGAGGCAACCACAGTGATAATGAAATCCCTCCAGCTAATACAGGGACTGGGATTCCTCATGACACTTTGTAGGCTAGTTTATCTGAAGAACAGTCTATTCACGAGCTAATCCTTCAACAACTGGCTGTCTCTCTT